AAGGTGGGGTGGCTGGGGGAGTTGAGGCCATACTAACAGGAAGGAGCTATCAGGCAGAGCCACATGAATACTACAATGAAGTAATGGTGAGACTGTACACAAGGGAGGGGCAGAATGACCTGGGAGGGGCAAGGAATGTTTTCAGGGAGGGGCAGGACATGGGCAGGGGAGAGGAAGAAGGACTGGGAGGGGCAAGGCATGTTATGAGGCTGGATAGGGGGAGTGACTGGGAAGGGCACGGCATGATTTCAGACAGAGGAGGGGTAGAAGTATTGGAGGGGTAAATCGTATCAGGCACAGGAGGGGTGACTAGGAGGGGCAAGGAGGAGGCAGAATGCCTGGGAGGGGCATGGCAAGTCACCATGTAGAGGAAGGGAATGGCACATTATCATGCAGAGGAGGGACAAGGAATTATGTTGGGGCAATAATTATTGGGAAGGGCAAGACATATCAGACAGGGAAGGGGCAGAATGATTGGGAGGGGTGGCAGTAGATACAAAGGAAGAGGAGGGGCACACTCTCTCAAGCAGAATGATAGGAAGGGGCGGAGGAAGATAAACAGGAAGGGGCGGAGTCTCCTCACCTGAGGCTTCTGGATCGGGGCCGCATAGCAGGGGAACGTCGTCCTTCTTCATCGGTGATGTTCTCGGTGCTGAAGTGTTTGGTCAGGAAGTGCAGCTCGTCTGCCGTCGGCTGATATGGCAGCTGGTGCAGCTTCTCCTGGGATGAGCATGATGACTGAGTACAAAAAACACAGAGAAGAAAGAACACTCAAACCGCATGCATACATGTACAGAGGAGGGAGAACAAAACCGCACAAGAAACAGCGAGAGAAGCTTCCACACATCACGCCCTGACCAGAGTGACAACGTCTCTCCTCAAACAGCGACGGACCGCTCACTGGGGTACTTGTGTGAGTATCAGCCGTCAGTCAGATGTCACAGAGCAGAAAGGATCATATCACGTATACGGAGAATATAACCGAGCTGTGATTGGCTGAATAGAACAGTCACAGCTCTGCTATACATTATATGCCTTCCTCCAGCATGGATGACCTGAGTGCACGGGGGCCGGGGTACAAACACTGACTGCCATGTGGGGTCTCACATGGTACTAAGATTACACTGGACAGACACGCTGGGCCTTAGATCATGCAACGATTTCCCATGGGGCCACAGATTCCACTGTACTGCCATAGGACCTCCAGATCACACCCTGCTACTACATGGGACCTCCAGATCACACCGTGCTACTACAGGGGACCTCTAATTGCTGTGTTCTGTCATGTGGGACCTTTAACAACCTTGCCTTTCCACATGGTAGCTCAGATGACCATGTACTGCCACACGCGACCTCGGCTAACCCTGTGCTGTTATGGAGGACCTCAGGTGACCCTGTACAGCCATGTGAGACTTTAGATAAACCAAGCACTGCCACACGTGACCTCAGATGACCTAGCACTGTCATGTGGGACCTCAGATGACCCTGTACAGCCATGAGCAACCTCAGAAGAGCAAGCAATGCCATAGGAGACCTTCAGATAACCCCAAATAACATCTGGGACCTCAGATGATCCAGAACTGTCATGCAGGACCTCAGATGGCCTGTACTGCTATACTGCACTGCATATGACCGTGCATTAACATATAGGACCTCAGATGACCCTACACTGCAATCTCAGTGCACCATGTGGCACCACAGATGACCCTGTACATCCATGGGGCAAATCAGTTGAACTTGTCCACCATGGGAGGCCTCAGATGACCTTGCTCTGCCATGTGGGACCTCAGATGACCCAGCTCTGCCATGTGGGACCTCAGATGACCCAGCTCTGCCATGTGGGACCTCAGATGACCCAGCTCTGCCCATGTGGTAGCTTAGATTACAGGTGCCTTCATCACAGAGGGTGGAAAGACATGAGACTTGCACTGGAGATGGGAGGACAGGGAACATGGGGCACTTACGGAGACAGTGGAACTGGGAGTGTTGGTTCCATATCCTGATGAGGGCAGAGATGCCAGGGACCAGCGGCGTCCATCCGTCCTGAAATAAAACAGGAAAGGGTTAGGAGGTGCAGCCTATAGACACTGGAGATGGCAGCTCAGAATTCAGCACCAAGCCAGAGAGGAGTACGGAGGATGAATATGACGCTCGGCTCACACAGGTGATCCGCGGCTATCACACAACAAAGGAGAGGAGGGAAATGATTATCACTGGAGAGACCTCCACCGTGATACACGGCTCTGCTGGTGGTCCTCCGAGGGACACAGATCTGTATATGAGAAGAGGAGGAGGAGGAGCTACACACAGGACCGAACATCCCAACCAACAGCGAGTGAAGTCCTCAAAGCCACATGCACTGTGATGGAGACGAGGCACACGGCAGCATGTCACAGGACGCACATCGGACGCACACTGCGCCTCATTTATCAAAGTATCTGAAAGGGGAGTGACCCGTACTGCGTCATCCGATCACATTCTCCCGTTCATTTGTTGTTTCTCAATAACTCCGCAATGTTCCCTTTCAGACAGTTTGGTAAATATGACGCATCCTGTGGATGGAGCGGCCGGCCGGACACACAAACATGCAGCACGAGGAATGAGGAAGGGTTACCTGTCCGCTCTGTGCCCATGGCTGGAAGAAATAGGACACGTTACTCACATGCGCCGGATACATCACGGATCATAAATCACTATCAATGTACCAGACACACCGCATAACCACCGGAGAGTAGAAGAAATAACCCGCGGGGAGGGTCATCTACAAGGGAGGACCTTGCCATGGGATGGATCTAAAACATACCGAGCCCCGTGTCTACCCAGAGGTATCAGCCAGGAATAGGAGGGGTCAGAGGGGAGGGGGTCAGCGCGGAGGGGGTCAGCGCGGAGAGGGTCAGCGCGGAGGGGTCAGCGCGGAGGGGGTCAGCGCGGAGGGGGTCAGCGCGGAGGGGGTCAGCGCGGAGGGGGTCAGCGCAGAGGGACCGGATCACAGGAAGTACCAGACCCGATCCACACATCACCCACCAACTGAATGTACATTTTAGGACACTGCTGCCATCTGTTGGTGATAAAGAGAATGACAGCCGACTCCGTTCACACAGAATAATATCTCCAGGCGTCACCTTGTAATACTTCATTCTACAGATCGGGGGCGTTGGAGTAATTAAAGAGGAGAAGTCTCATCATGGACAGGCACTGCGCCACCCTCCGGGACATACCTTTCCCTCCATTCTAAAACTTTCCTTTACTGGCAAATGCCCCGACCCGTGGCAATCACCTCCTGACATGATCTGCCTGATTGCACACAACATACAGGACAGAAGTGTGAAGAGCGTCGGTGGTCTATTCTAAGGACAATGCAATGAGCGGATAGGATCTGTCTAACACAGGCATCTTACCTGCGAGCCGGCACAAAGGAGAAGTGGCCAGCAGTACTCGGGGAGAAGTTCCTGGGGCTGTCCAGAGGGCTGTTACCTGCACAGGAAGAGATGACAATTGATTATTGATCAGTTATTATAATTTTCCCAAAGCACCAGAAAGACAAATGAAGTAGAACGATGGTTGCAGGTGAGTATAGGGAAGGATCACCGCAGAGAGGAGAGACCATCCCCCCAATGACGCAGCACAGGGACCCGGGAACAGTCCAGCTACGGACCAATGAAAATCCCACTACATGCCCGCTGATCCTGCCAGAGCCCTCAGCTGTAGGTCATTTCCTGTTCGAGGCTGAAAATGCTAGCGCGCCTCAATGGAAATAGCAGCGTTGTCACCCTCACGTCAGCCGTGTCCACAAGCACGCGACATGCAGGCACTGGGGAGGGGGCCCCAAGTGTTGGCATTGGGCTCCTCTGATGACAAGTTATTTGCATGTCTATCAGCCACAAGCCCCGCCCACTTTGGTTCCCTAGAAGCTGCATCTGCACACAACATCCAACCTCCCAGGAGCCACGACTGACGACAGCCAATAGCACGCTCCCGATTTGCAGAAGCTGCAGGGAAAGTTGAGAGTTGTAGTTTATATGCGACCTGCAATTTATATTTGGATGACCTGTGACCTGCAAGCCGCGGGACAGTTCCCCACCCCCCATGTGTGCGGTACACCGACCCCTCCCCCCCCCATGTGTGCGGTACACCGACCCCT